GGGGGGGGGGGGGTGTCCTCATTTCTGGCTCTGCAAGAGCTGAGGCAAGCAGTTTTTGAAATGGGGGGTGAAAGGGTGGAGAGAAGGGGCGGAGGCTTCCTCGAGGCCAACCACAACTAACTCATTTACTCTGTCCAGCAAAACCCAGACAGTGCAATTATCTGGTTAATTTGGCCCTCAGTTGGGAGACAGGCTTCCAAAATGTGAGGCCGGCTCAGACTAAACAGTGGCTCCCATCCGAAGACTTCTCCCAAGCGCCAGAGGATGCGTATCGGAGATTCCTGGGGGGCTGCTTATGCGAGCCGCCCATTGATCCAGATGGGAAAAGACAAACCATTCAGACTCTAAGATGGGGCTTAGGAAGACATGTCTTCCAGGGGAAAACCTCCAAATGGCCTGCTAACTGGTCTGGCTGATTTGCCTTCTGGCTTCCATGGAGGGGGATGGCTGGAAATGAGGACTCTAAATGAGCCAATGTTTTCCAGTGGGACTGCAGCCCCCCTAGACTGGCCGAGTGTCCCCAGAGTTATTCTTAGGGCAGTTCCCTCGGATGCTCCTGCTCACGGGTTTTGTACCCATAAGTTGGGCCAGGGGAGGCACTGACATAAATGGGTAAAATTAAAACATGCCTCTGGGGTTTTCACAAATGGGATGAGACAAGGTTAGCTAAGCTGGCAGCTGAGCATTTACCAGATGGTTTATGGAAAACTTAGATTTTTCAAGGGAGATTAAGGAGCAGTGATTTATTTCCCTTGGAAACTGACAAACAGCCTGGAATCTGTGGAATCTAGGAGTTATTCACCCAGTGAATATCTGCTTCGGTTCTAGTATGTGCCAGGCTCTGTGCTACTTAAGAGTGAGATCCAAACAGCCATGGCCCCTACCCTCATGCAAATAATTCCACATCTAAAAATGCGGTTAAAAACTCAGATAAAGGCCAGGAAGGAAACACCGGGGTGCTACAAAAGGAAATAGCCAGGTTCCCTGACTGAGGTCGGGGCGTGAGGGCTCCAAGAAGGAGTCTTTGAGGAAGGGATTTTAACGTTAACACTTCTAAGAACCTAATTCGATTTTTAAGAAAGATCCCTCTGGCTTTAGAACAAAATATAAATTGGAAGTGGGTGAAAAGATGAAATTAGGAGGCTGTTGAACAGGAAGAGTGGCTGAGAGCTGAGATGGTTCAGCCAAGGCTCTAGGCAGTGGCGTCGGAAGGAGTGGACAGACTAGAGCAACGCGGGATTCGGAGTCAGCGGGATCTGGTCATTGAACGGGCGTCGTGGCAGAAGGAGAGGGAGGGGTCCAGAAGCCGGTGCAGGTTTCTGGCTAAGGTGGAAGGTAGACGGTGGGACCCCTCACTGAGAGAGGAAACTCGGACATGAGTAGGATGGGGTCCGGGGAACATGATGCGTCCTGGTTTGGAGTCAACCAAACTGGACTCCCCCCCGTTCCATACCCTGTGCTTCTGGTCTCCTTAGCTTTGCTCCCACTGCTTCCATCTCATAAACTCTTCAGACGTTGCCTCCACCTGTTGACAGCATAGCCATCCTTCAAGATCCACTCAAATACCACCCTCTCCTCGAAGCCACTCCCGACTCCAGTTAGTGTGGCCTCGGCGGCCCAGGGCGCTGAGTTCGGGCCTCTCTTTCCTGGACTCCACCTGTGTGGAGGTCCTGTGGTGACTTACCGTGCCTCCTTCGCTAGACCACAGGCTTTTTGGGACAGAGCCTCTGCTCCTATATCCTGTTCCCCGTGTCAGCTAGCTAGCATAGTAGACGTTTGACAAATATTTGTTAAGTGAGCAAAAATAACCTGCTCTTTGCCATGGACGGAAAACCAGTAGACATTGGACAGACTTGAAAGCCACAGGATCAAATTGAAATTCAAGCTGTAGGTGTTTTCATACTAAGCCAACTCAAATGTGATGCTCAGAAAGGCTTTCTGTTCCTCCAACAGAAAGAAACTCAGAGTACGGAAAGGTCACAGCCCTCTATTTTTTTACCGCACTTTTCTGAGTTCACCGTATAGCAGGGCCCTTTCCTATCTTAGGAACTGTTGACCTTTGATGATGATGATGATGATGATGACGACGATAAAAGGGTAACATTTACTAAGTGTTGGTATGTGCCAGGCCCTGTTCTAAGGCTAACTTGTTGATCCTCACAGCCCCCCTATAAAGTTGATGCCTTCATTACCCAGTTGTACACGTGACGAAACTGAGCTGCAGAGAGCTTAAGTATTACTCAACCAAAGTCACTGTTAGTTGGGATTTTACCCTAGAGTCTGGCTCCAGGGCCCATGCTTTGATATGCTAAAGCCACAGCACGATGCTTGGCATTGGGCAGGTCCCCAAAAAGCATTCACTGAATGAATAGGAGGAGCCCTAGATATGGAAACCATAGATTCTAGTCCTAGTTCTGCCACTGACTTCCTGTGTAGCCTTGAACAAGTCCATGTTTCTTTCCCCATAAAATGAGGGAATTAGATGTTGGTATTAATGCTAATTCTAAGAGCCAGTATTCATGATTCTAATCTCCTTTGAGGCTTTACATAATTTAATCCCAACAATGATACCAAAAATATACCAAAAAATGATACAAAGAGATTAAGTCACCTGCCCAATACCCAGAAAATGAGGGAGCCAGGATTCAAGCCCACTGTGCTCCCAGCTCAAGTAGTTCCATGCCTTGTGGACCATGGCGGGGATGCGGGGACTAGAACAATGGAGTGATGGACCTCTGAGCTCCCCATGCTCATTCCCACTGGAGAAGCTCTACTTGTCTCTATTGAGATGCCCTTAGAATCAGGAAGGTTCTACTGCTAGGACAAAAAGGTCGAAAACCATTGGACTAAATAACCCCGGAATTTAATGAGACTCCCAGGTAGAAGCCAGGATTTTTTGGTAATCTTGGCTCATTATAGTTGTATAAGGTTGGGGATCAAGGTTGCTCCTGGGAATGGCTCCAAGGTCAGGGTAATAGCACTAAAGGATCCGCGCCAACCTACCTGCTCCACGCGGATCTCAATCTCTCCATTCACCTTCTTCCCGTGGAAATACTTGGCCCTGCGAAGGAGAGGAAGACACCTGGGTAAGGACGCAGGTAGCTTAACTCTTTCCTCCCCTTTCCCGAAGGCCTTACAACCCCAGAGGTGCGTATCCAGACACATTCTCTGCCAGTGCTCTCTCCTCCCACCGCGACCGCTGCAGTCCTCACTGCTTCTGCGTATTGAGGGGGAGACGGGGGAGAGCACTGGACGGGAGAGCTGGAGGCTCAGGATCATGTTCTGCCAAGTTCTTTGACCTTCCCGAGCCTCTGCTTTATCCACTCTAAAAGGGAGACATTAAAACCTGCATGATATACTTTTAAGGGTTATGTTAAGGATCAAACAAGATAAAGAATCCTATATAAATGAATAGTGTGGAATTATTTTACTGAGGTACACTCTATATACTGAATAAAGGACTTATTAAATTGACGTATCCATCTGCTTTCTCCATTTGTCTCTGTCCAGTGGAGCAGGCCGTAACTGTTCCTTTGACCATCCATCCACCCATCATCCATAGCCCATCACCCGCCCCCTAACCGTCCATCCTTCCATCATCTGTTCTTCGCACCCCGTTATCAGCAAGTGGTGCCCCATCTGCTCATTACTCCAGGCAGAGACACACACATCATTCCTCTCCCCTCTTTCTCGCTCTATCCCCATTGATTCTACCTGCTAATCATTCCTCAATCTACCCACTTACCTACTTTTTTTAAAAAACACCCCAATCTTGGCCTCTTCGCTTCTCTTATATAGATTTCCTTGTCATGCTCTTTTCTTTCATAGCATGCGGGACGGTTATAACTAGTAACTGTGTGCAGTGCCCGTGTCCCCCACAGTATAACACGGCTCCTCGAGGTCAGGAGCAAGCTACCTCAATCATCATGCTATCCCTCACCTACCGGAGTGTTTCACACACAGTAGGAGCTCAATTAATACCTGTTGAATGAGTCAGTGATTGAAGAGATAGATGAAAACAGACCCACTTGTTTTCTGTGCTATGGGCTCTGACCTATCGTCTTTCTCACTTAATGTTGACAACCGCCGCCAGGAGGTAGGTGTTATTATTTCCTATAGGCAAGGACACTAAAGCCCAGAGAGATGAAATGCTAAGCGTGTCCATAAACCTCTTCTGGGGCAGAGACAGCTCTTTGATCCCAATACCTGGGATCCTTTCCCACAGTGAGAGAGCCTATAGAACGTAGATCCCAACCCTCCATTCAGCTGGAATGGGCACGAGATTGAGCTCTAACCAATAATTTGTAATCATTACATCCAAGAATCGTCTTAGTCGCTTCTTTCATTCTTTCCCCTGGAACATCAATGCTGCCATCTTTTCTTTGTTTTTTTCGTTCTTTCATTTGCAAAGGAAAGAAGCCTTTCTACAGATTCTCTGGCCACGCTTCAGTCAGTCTGCTTGCAAAGCCTACCTACACTTCGCCGGTGCCAGTGGAGTTCATCTCTTTCCAACACTGCCCGTGTCACTGACAGCTCTGAGAGTAACACCACTTTTTCTTACAATGTCCTCGGGCTTAGATGTCAACGAGGCAGGATTTTAGTGCAACAGGAGCTGTTAGTGTGACCTGAAAGCAAGATTTTGGTGGCTTTTTTTTCCTCCCAGGATGGTCTTAGACAAATCACCCTCATGCAAAGGGAACCTTATCACGTAATTTGTGGATTTTGTCACAAATCCGTAAAGGCAGTGTTGGCAAACTCCAGGCGCTGGGATATGCCCGCCTCTAATGTTTTGTGGGGCCTGGGGCAAAAGCACAAATGGAGGCCCATGTCTCATAGGCCGAATTTTCAAAATTGATATATAAAGCTCACAAACATTAAATAAAACATGTCCGTCTTGCTTCCTGAACAAATACAATCGCATAATTTTCTGCAAGGGTCAGGATTTAGACTTCTCAGAATTCCTGGACGGGGCAACATGGGAACTGCCATATTTTGGTTCCCAGTGACATCCCTAATTCTCCTTCCACCCTCCTCTCTGTCCGGCAGATGATGGGGCTTCTTACGGAGGCTTGTGGACGGGCCAGGCCACGTGGCCAAGCTTTACCTCCTTGCCCACACCCCCATCGACAGCTGTCCCTTGGCCACATGCCTTGGGAGGCTAGACTACAAGGGCCCTGGAACTGCGCCTGTCCCTCTGGGCAGGAAACTCTAGGGTGCACGGTCCCAAGGATGCAATTTGCAGGGCCCTCCTTTGCTGTCAGCATGGGCATAGCTGGTAAGGGCCACAGAAGGACTTAGGTCAAGGGTCCCTCTAGCTTGGGTTTAACAGAAGTACTAGGTGAGCCTGGGACCTCGGGACAGTAACTAATGAATGTAATCACTGGCATGCTGGGAAAAAGCATGGATTTGGAATCACATGGGTGTGGGCACAATCTGAGCTCTGCTACTTACTCACCACGTACTTAACCCGTCCCGGTATTAGTTTCCTCATTTGTCAAGTGGTGATCACCTCTACCAGGCAAGGTTGTGAGAAATTCACTTGCTCTTTTGTGTAACAAGGCGGTAGAGTGCCGTGAGCTCAGGGCTGCACCGCCTGGATGTAATCCCAGCTCACTCACTCCCTTGCTCTGTACCCTGGGTTACTCACTCCACCTCCATGTGCCTCAGTTTCCACATCTGGGAAGTGGGAATCATCACAGTAGCTCTCACGCAGGGTTGTTGTGAAGATTAAACAAGACAAGACTTAGAAAGCACTTAGAACAGCTCCTGGCACATAGTAAGCTCCAAAGTCTATAGGCCAGGGGTCGAAACAGAACCAGCAACAACAGAGGACCATTGAGTGTTCACTCTGTAACTGGGGGTGCCGTGTGGCAGGGACCCACAAACAAACGAGACATAATCTTACCCTCACAGAGGTTACAAGGCAGAATTGCTATTCGCCTGGCTTTATCCGTCCCGTCGGTGCAGTAAGTGATGGACAGTGATAGTAATAAACGGGTGGCGTGGATACGGAGGCCCTGCCCTTCCCACCCCTCCTATTTGACCCCAATGTCAGCCCTGAGCGGTGGTTGGGCAGAGAGCAGCCGCCACATGTTCCAGATGGAGACGTCCCTGCTCAAAGCCCCACAAAACCTCTAGTAGCAACAGTGAACCACACCTTATGCTTTAAAAGATTTGGGGGATTCAGTCCAGACCCTGTGGGTCCTTCAGGAGCTGGGCCCTGCTGACCTGAGGCCCATTTCTCCTCCACTTTTCCGCCCACCCCACGGACCCGCTCCCCGTTCTGCCAGCCCTTAAACATGTCCCATGCTTTCATGCCTCTGGGCCTTCGCGTCTCTCTCTGCTGAGGGCGGCTTCCTGCTCTTCCCTGCGTGGCTGCCTCTTTCTCACTCTATCAAGTTTTCCCTGGAAGCACCCCCTAAGGAGGCTGGGTCAGGTGTCCCTCCTCGGGGCTCCCATAGCCATTAGAGCTCCCATCTCCCTGGGCTGCAATTACCCTTTGCTTGTCGGTCCCCGGCCCCCATACACCTAGCCTGTGAGAGCCTGGGAACCCCGAAACTGTGTCTCAGGGCTCACTGACTCTCCAGCATCCAGCGCGAAGTGCCAGGGCCCGAGGCACATGTTTAACAGATGTTTGCTGCCTGGGTAAATGAATCGTGTCTTTCAGGCATAGGCCACAGGGTATCCGGTCCTGGAGACGCGTCACTGCCACCTCCTGGTGCCCTGCTGCAGTGCACTTACACACCTACACCCGCCGCGACGCTGGGTCACACTGCGCAGCGACAACTGGCGGCCCTGGCCTTGATTCCACCCTGGAGCCCAGGGCACGCTGCACTGCACCGATGCCACCCAGGGCGCTCCGGCCTTCAAAGGCTCACCTTCCCAGGAGAGACGCTTGTTTCGCCCGTCGCTGGGATGTTTGCCGCAGGGCCTGGCAGACAGACGCAGGCTGAGGCGGAGGGTCAGGCGGTCCATCCCCCTGCCTGGCCGCGAGTCAGAAGCCTGTCTCCTGACGGGCCACACAGGCTGCTGCCCCTTGCCGGGGCTCATTCAGGCCGGAGCTGCCTCCGAGCAGCTCTGTCTGGCCGCGGGAGCGGCGGGGATGGTCTGGAATTCCAGATGCCTGGGGGGCTGGAGCTGCCCGCTGCCTCCGGAATCGCCTGGCTGTTTGACCTCAGGTGAAATGGGGGGGCCCCGCTGGGCCCAGGGCTCGGTCTCCCCAAGGCAGACCTCTTTCCGATGCCCTCATGTTTACTCTCATAACGAGCTCCCTGAATATCCCGGCCCATCAGTCAAGCCCTTGGCCTCGGGAAGGAGGTGGGGGCCGCTCTTGATTCCGCCAAGCTTCCATCTCTGTGGGTGGTCTCATATTTTACCGCCACATCAGAGGCACCAGGAAGGAGAATATTATAAAACCAGCTGCCCGGGGTGGGAAACCCCTATTTGGGGAGGCGGGATGTGGTGTGAGAGGAAGATTTATGGGGAGCGGGTACCGGGTCTTCCAGGGCTGCAGCAGGGGCAGGAGAATTAGCACAAACAGGATCCACCTGTGCCCAAGCAGCGCCCTCCCCCCAAATCCATCTGGGATGTAGAGTCAAGGTGGCCGGGTCTCAGCAAAGTCCTCCCGGGGGAGGAGGGGTCAGGGGCGGTCTGCCTCAGGCACAGCCCCTGCTGGGGAAGGGGAGGGGGGCAGGGAGGCAGGAATCCGGTTCCATTAAGGGATTTTCATGTTTTTAACGCAACACGTCAGTTGCTCATTTGTGGCCTAGACAGAAGCAGGGGGAGACGGAAGATGGACCACGCAGGAGATGGCTGAAGGTGGACACACGCAGGCCTTTCCCAGTTAGTGACACAGGGAGAGTCACATGGCAGTTTGGTTGAATGGAGATGCAGCCAAAGCAAGACCTTTGAGCGCAGTCCCATTCAGAGATCAGTTCTAGGGCTATTACTTACTCCCAGAATAGCTGACCCTCCTGGCCCCTCCACTGCCAAAGGGGACCCTCCAATGACCGGCAGCCTCTCCATATCCCTTTTTAATCTGGGGGTTCCTGTGGGTTAGGA